CCCAGAGAATCCTGTTCACTTGGGAGACCCTGCGTGTCTCTGCTGGTGAGGGACAGGCGGTGGGGCACGTGTCCAGGCACCGGGCCTTGCACACAGGGGACTTGGGGCTTTGCTGGGGACAAAGGAGACCCCGTTTAACAAAGCACCTGCTCTGAAGGTGTAAAGCCCACTGCAGAAACAGCTTCTGGCAAGCCGGCGCTGGCCCTTCTCCAGTGACCTGGGCACAACGGTGGCTGCTCCCTCCGCGTAGAGACGCTGGGAGCGGGAGAGCCTCGTGCCGCACGAGGGAGCCTGCGCTAGTCAGCACGCGCCAGGGGAGCAATTAGTAAGATGTGTATGTGTGCAGAGAGGTTTGTTTTGAGGAGTTGGCTCACGTGATGGTGGAGGCTGGCAAGTCCACAACCTAGAGGGCAGGCTTCCCGGGGAAGAACTGCCGTTGCAGCTGGAGCGCAAAGACAGTCTGCTGGTGGAAACTGCTCCTCCTCGGGAGGCTGCAGTCTTTCCTCAAGGCCTGCAACTGATCGGGCGAGGCCCATGCACATTGTGGCGGGCAGTCTGCTCCACTCAGAGTCCCCTGATTTAAATGTCGGTCTCGGTCTCATCGAAGAAATGCCATTACCGTGACATCCAGACGTGTTTACCCAAACAACCGCACACCACGGCCTGGCCAAGTTAACACATGAAACGAACCATCCCAGGGGCCAGTAGCCAAGGAGGGTGGGATATTTGGAAATGGAAGGTGCTCACTGGGTGCCCCCCAGGAATCTGAGTATTGAGGTAGTTTGCCTTCCTGGAAGACACAGGAAGGAGGGAGTCGCTCTGGTCATCCCTGTGGGGACGAGGCTGAGCAGGCAGCCACCTGGAGGACAGGGTGTACCCCAGTGAGAAGGGGCTTGGCTGGGGGGCCACCACGGAGGGAAACCAGGCTTGGCTGAGTTTCCTGTCACACTCGCCAGTTCTTGCTCCTGGGGTCTCCCCTCCTGGTGTGCTGAGTCGGCTTTGGCTGAGCAATGGTCCTCGTTCTGGGACAAGTGTCTGCAGCTGTTTGAGGGCTCCGGTGAAGGCATCTTCCTGCAGAGGGAGCGTGTTTGCTCCAGGGGAGGAGCTGAGCCAGGGATGCGGTAATGACATCTGTGCCTTCTGTCTGGTGGACCCCCAAGAGATGCGACGTGGGCTGCCAAGCGGGTGGAAGGCAGGTCCTGATGGCCCGGATGCTCCCTGCTGGTCTGCTACCAGCAGGGCAGCTCGCTGACCCTGGGGGACTGGCGGGGGCCACGCTCTTCCTCCTTTGCAGTCCTCAGCCTGAGCAGGGGTGGGCTCCTGGCTTTATTTCTGTCCCCTCCATTTGGACAACTGCTCACTGGCCAAGTCGATGCACCTGGTGGAGCCAGGAGGGTGCCTTCCCACGCCGGGGTCCCTGGTGGGGGCTGCTGCTTTCCTGGGGGTCCCCCCGCCCCCTGCCCGGGGCCAGCCCTGCCTTGTCAGTGGCCACACCTCCCCACAGACTGGGATGCTGGCAATGAAACAAGCTTACCCGGATGCGAGGAGTCGTGGCCACTCCTCCCTTCCGTCTGCTCTGATCTCGTACTATTCCCAGACGTGGGGACATGGGGGCTGGTGGGCCCCCATGTCCAGGTCGTCTCAGCCCCCTAGTGGGAAGGGGGGCCTCTGAGTGCGGCTCAGGAGGCTGGCCCTCCCACCGGCTCCTCTCGCACTTTGCGTGACTGTTGGTTGGTGTCTCTGCTTAACTGGGACAGCAGCTGTCACCTTTTCGGTTGTTATTTTAGGAACCATTTCAAGACTTTTTTTCCCGTCTAATAAGAAACATTAGATGAAATTTACTTTACATTGTAACTGATGATTTAGCCCCAGATTCTGCCACATTGATGAAATTCTCTGCTCTGTACGTGTTCTTGTTTCCATTGTTTTTGTCTTCAAGTAGAGGATGTCTAATAATTTTTCTACTGTTCTGAAAGATATATTCTGTTTTCAGTCATACTAGTGAATACTTGTTAACTTTCTCTTTTGATGTAGATTTTAACTATTAAAACAGAAAAAAGAAACAAGATAATGTGAGAAATTTCTGTTTAACAGAGGATCTACTTTGTTTTCTCAACATCAATCCCCCTTGAAGGGGAGGGTGGAGCTCAGTGTAGAGCGAGTGCTTAGCGTGCCCCAGGTCCTGGGTCCAGTCTCCAGTTCCTCCGTTTGAAAAAAAATCTATTCACCCTCGAATGACTAGTCTCTTAGCGTGCTCTAAAGCAGGGGTGAGGCGGGAGGTGCGGCTCAGCGGTAGAGTGCGTGCCTAGGGCGCACAAGGTCCTGGGTTTAATTCCCCAAACCACCCTCAAAAATAAATAAATAAATAAAAACTTAATTACCTGCCCCCCTAAACAAACAATCAAACAAATGAACAAACAAATGAACTTAAAGCAGGAATGAACGATGCACGCACAAGGTCTTGGGGTCAATCCCCAGTACCCGCGTCAAAAATAAATAAAAACCTAATTGCCTCCCCCTCACCAAAGCAAAACAAAGCAAAACAAAAACAAACCTAAAGCAGGAATGAGCTATGTTTCCCCACGGAAATGTAGTTCAAGCCACACACGTAACTGTAACTACTATAATCACCACATTTAAAAGTGAGGAAAGAAACAGGAGACTCATTTAATAAGATATTTTATTTAACCCAATATATTCAGAAGGTCAGCACTTCAGGATGCGGTAC